CTGTTTTTTTTCTGTTTTTTCTTCTATCTTTTTTTTTCTTCATTTTTTTCTTTATTGGAACTAACAATTTTTTTTCTTTAGCTTTAATTTCAGAATCATTATATTATTATTGGAGTCACTTTGCTGTTGATGGCATTCTTCTTGATGGTAAAGTTTTATCATTAGTATCGTCATCTTTGGTAGTAAAGTTTTCATTATTGGTATTGTCTTTCTTGTGGTGAAGTTTTGTTATTAGTATCATTGTCATTATTGGTGAAGTTTTTGTTATTGGTATCTAGTGTTCCGAGTTGGTTAATATTTTACCAATCAATTAGTTGTCAACTATAGTTGCAACTAATCAATTGTTCATATTACATGATATCATCAGATAATTAGCCAATCAAACCAAAAGAATTAATACAGATCTGCTTGACTAGATGAGATTTCTCAGAATTGTATTAGTTAAATGATTAATTGATTAGTTATTTAAAATTTTTTCAAATCAACTAGTTGGAAAGTTTGCAACTAGTTGATTTTTCAACTAATGATTTGGAACACTATTGGTGTTGTTATCTTTATGATAAAGATTTGTTTATTGGTATCATCATCTTTGTGATAAAGTTTTCATTATGGTGAAATCAGACTTTTTGATATAAAATAGGTGGTTTGGTTTTTTTTTATTATGCAATAATATTTGTTTCACAATGATGTTTATTATGCAATAATATTTGTTATACAATAAATCTATTATGCAATGACTTTTATTATGCAATAATATTCATTGTATAATAATTTTTGTAAAAAAAAATTTTTTTTATATAAATTAAATAGACAAAAAATAAAAAATTTGGTTTTTTTTTTTTTTTAATAAAGTTATATATTGTATATAATCAATTTTTTTATATATAATTTTTAAATAAAATAAAGTTATTAATAGAGTTTTAAACTATAAAATTTATAGTAAATATTTATAAAAAATTAATAAATTTAGATTAATTCAAAATAATTTAAATTTTTTCAAAATGTGTTTGGCAGCACTCCGGT